CAAAATCAACCCCATCATGCAGCTGTAAGCAGGGAGAAGTAGTTACACATGTTAGTTTGAAGATGGGGTAGATTTGCACCTTTATAGACTAAGGGTGCAGTTACACATTATACTTAGACCATACTAAGGGCACTTGGAATGTAAGTGTCCACACATTTAACATGAGTTAAAACTCATTAACTCACACTAAGTGCCCTCTGAGTGTCTCAAAGTTATGCTACTTCAGGTGATGGCTAAATCTAGGCTGTGCTACATAGCTTGGATTAGGATAACTTCAGCCTTCTCCTCAGAGATAAAATGAGCATTTTGCAGTCGTCTGTTATCCCAGAATGCACTGCTCCTGGTTCCCTCTACCACCTAGAGCAGGGATAGATGTATCTTGGCTACTAGCCACACCCTTGCTCATCAGCCTTCTAGTGGCAAGTTAGAGCAGTGCAGGCAAAAAATGATATTAAGACTTAGTATGTGACTACTCACAGCATATTCTAACTTTTAAACCACTTAACATTCCACAGATTTAGTATAGTCTATGTAACTTCACCCTAACTAAATCAGAGATGTGTAGCATAAATTTTCATAAGCAGAGGTCGGTCTTCCTTCATCAGATGGTATGAAGAGATTGTGGGGATCAGGGCTGCCAAACAGAAAGCCGTGATTAGAATGCAAAGGGTAGGGAAGCGGGGGTGGGAAGGGGGCAGCAGGAAAGAACAGGCACTGCTGAGAAAAGCCAGGTGGTTAGGAGAGAGAAAAACCAAGCATTAACACATTGCAGGACATAGGGCTTAAAAAGCTAATCAAGGTAATGGGATAAGAATCTATAGTCTTGATTTAGACTATATTTAATACAATCCTGTCTGGATGATTCCTTGTTCTGCACTTTCCTATTCAAGTTCATTTTTAATTTTTTTGTTGCCTGAGAACAGCCAGACTGAGGTCAGTGATGAAATGTCCAGGGAGGTTAAAGTGTTCTGCCACAGCTTTGTCTGTCTTTCTGAACTAAATGCAGGTCTCAGTGTTTGGTCTGTAGTAGAGTATAGATAGTACTAACTAGCACATACAGGCAACCCTCACTTAACATGGTTTCGCTTACTGCGGTTTCGTTATAAAGCTCATTTAAAATACCTACCTAGTTTTGCTCAGTGCTGAGTGCGTTTTGCTATAATGCTCAGCACGGGTGTGGGGAGAAGCAGTGGCAGCAGCAGTGGCCAGGGAAGTGATGAGTGGCAGCCAGCGGGAGCCCAGGAAGGGGTGGCAGGAGCCCGGGGTCCATTCCAGCACATGGTGTTGGAGTGGCTAGTGGGTGGGGAGGAGCGCTGGTGGCAGCAGCGAGAAGGGGCAGATGAATGCAGGGTCTGTGCCAGTGGGGCAAGCTGAGCTCACAGAGCTCCCCCGCCCCTGAACCTGCAGCAATCTGGTGGTGGCAGCTTATCTCTGTGCCAGATGCCTTGGAGGGAGCCCCCGCTGGGCAAAGCGGGGTGTGGGCAGGTGGGTGACCCCATTTCCTACCCTGCGCCAGAGCCTCGACTCAGGCCCCATGGGCAGGGCAGCTGGGGCTGTGCACAGGTGCACTGGTGGCCAGTGGGTGTGGGCTGGCAGGGGCCATTGTGGCGGGGGAACAACGAGGCTGAGAGGAACTGATGCCTTCCCTGGCAGAGCCCACATGGTGCCTTGTTGGGAATGGCCCGGCAAGGGCCGGCAGGAGTGCAGGGCCCAGGGTGGGGCTGCAGGAGCGTGGGGTCTGGGTCGGTGGGTGGTGCAGAACCAGTTATCTTTATTCCTATGGGGAAATGGGTTCCGCTTAATGCTCTTTCACTTATCGCTTGTTTTTCCCAGAACCAATTAGGAGCACTAAGCAGGGACTGCCTGTAGTTTGTAGCTGGCAAGATTAATATTTATCTTGATATTTTCAGTAACTCACCATTGTGTGATTAGTTGTTTGAAATGTACCAAGGACAAGTTAGGCTTGTGCAGTGGGAATGGGGAAAAGATGTAAAAATGTTTCTTGCTTTGGCCTTCCTTGCTCAAGGGCAGGCACAACAGCTGAAAGTGGGGACAGAACCACTGTACACTGTGGGGCACTGGCTTTGCTGCCCACTCACCCTAATGGGAACATGCTGGATCATTCCAACAGAACACCTTGACCCTTTCCTGATGCACAGTGACTCCCACTACTTACAGTGGGCACCACTCCTAAATGCTCAATGGATGGCGTGACCTTGCACAAGTGACATCTGACGTACAGATTATGTAACAATCATTCAGAATCACTTATATCACTTTTTTCAAAAGCAATGTTTATTTTTCATCAAGGTAAGACACATTATGTACTGCATACAATAGGAAATACTGTCCAGAAAAGCTGCTTTTAACTGCTATAACCAAAATAATAATATATATATGTATATATATATATAAAAATTGCACTTGAGAAATTAAGTTCTATCCTAGAAGAATACACTAAATAAAAGGTAGTGAGCTGCTTTGAAATGATGGAACTATTTCTTTTGCTTTTGAAAGTTATATTTATACTATGGGCTTCCAATTACTTCAACAAAAATGAAGCAGACTAATTTAACTTTTTTAAAGACAATTGATTTTAACTTAAAAATAATATATAAACAGTGTAGAAGCTATTTCAAACCTACAAAGAAAGAGGAAAATAATGGTACAGGGAAAATGCCTGTTTGCAATTTCTGACAATAAATAAAAAAGGATGGTAAAGCTATTTCACCTGTTATGGGTTATGCAGTTTGGAGTGTGGTTTACTGGAAACTTTATGTTCAGTCATGATAGATATTATCCTTTTTAACATTTTTGGCATAAAAGGCAACATCTCCATAGCAAACGGTGGCAACTAGTAATAAGTAGGTCATTTGTTTCCAGTAGTGCTTAGTGTACCATGAGAGAAAAGTTAGTTTTTGTGACCAGTTCTGGAAGTATCTAAAATTTTCCAACTTCAGGCAAATGAGAAGTCCCACTGACTTCTTGGGGCCTCTTGCATGACACTTCTTCTGTTTGATGAAGTTCTGTGCTGGGCCCTGGTACACTATTGTTGTCTGTGTTTCAATAGTGTGTTTCTAACGTTCCACTATTAACACTGGAGTTTTGAAGAGCATACAAAATTGAATTTGAGATGTCAGGCATAACTGAGAACTCAGTCTGGTAAGCCAGGGTAAGCTGCCTCAAAGGGATGAGAATCAATGAACTAGGCAAAGCAGAAAGTAACATGAAACCAAACTTCCCATAAAATCAATTTGCTTAAGCTAACTAAACCATGGTGCTTAGCCGACCATAGCTTGGCAGTTCAGTCAGGAAGAGCTTGCTGCCTGCACTGTTGTGGTTTCACAAGTAGGTTTCCCCCCCACCCTCAAATTAGCCTAGAATTATGGGGGTGATTGATCAGTTGTATAATTACACCTGAGATAGGAAAAGAACGTAGTCTTCTTTTAATAAAACTGAATTAAGTAATGAAGCTGGCAATCTTTGGTTTCAGTGCTGCTCTTTAAAGTGAATTGCTTTGAAAAAATGATGAATCACTTCCCATCTCAGCTTCCCATCTCAGAGTTTTTTTAAATAGACATCTGGGAGCCAGGGAGGAAAAATAGATACATATATATAAATATATAAATGCTTAAACAGCAAAAATAAGCCTACCACCAGCACCAACAAAAAAAACAAACCCTAACCCAAACACTATATTTAGAATCACAAATGTTCAAATAAAGTACAAAAAGTAACACTCACAATATCTTATATGGTATATTCCAGGATAGATTTGATAAAGTTAGAAAAACAGGTAACAGTTTGACTTGATAAAGAAAGTAATATAAAAAAACATGAGAGCACTTTTATAATTGTTCTGGTGATAACCAAGACACAGTGGTTCTAATGTTCTCAATATTATATGATATAATGTGCTATTTGGCTGATTTTGAAATGCTATTGTAAAGTCACTTCTTTCTGAGCAACAAAAGCACAGAGGCAGCACACAGAAAAATGAACCAAGCCGCTTGAGTCTGCTATTAAATAAATCTATAGATTCTTGGCCATTAAATGTTCCACCCCATTTTGTCTGTAACGTTCACAATCAAAAGTTCAATTCTCTTCCAGATTTATAATTGCCTATATTCTCCACTGGACCACTTTCAGAGCAGTATCTCACAATCTTTAAAGCTAGTTTGGAAAAAAAATCCTTTATTTTAGTTAGAGCACTTTCATAATGTTTTGATAGGCATATGAAGCTATGCTATAGCTTTTAAAGTGCATATTTAATTAAAAGGTGATAGAAGAATATTTTGTGTGAATAGTAATTAATGCTGAACATTTTTCAAGATACAGATGTCGATTAATTAGCTAATACGTCTGAACAAAATGCAGTCCAAAAGAAAATCAGTGCTGATAGTTTAACCATGGCAATATATGCTACTGAACTCAGACAATTAAGATTACTGCATATGGTGACAAAGTTATAGTATTTCTTATTTAACCCCCCCCCATCCAAACCAATGTTGATATTTGATCTGTTCTCTAAAGCTAGAACCCAGTTTTGTTTCCAACTTGAATACACATGCAAGAAACATCAGCATTTTCAACAGAATAATGTCCATTTTGACTGTCTACCTAGACAAAAACACAATCCTTGAAACACAGTGAAGAAGAACATATTCAAGAGTCATATCTTGCTTCCTGCATGGAGACCCTGCCTCTTTAACCAAACATCTTTAACCAAGTGGCAGGGCTGCAGTGGGCTTGACAGCACTCAGGACCAGGTCCTCAGGCAAAGTGTTATATGATTATGATAAATGTTTTGCTGGTGTAGAGACTGCAAGACTTGACTTCACTGTAGTTTTATTTTATTCTATATTTTCCTTGTTATCTATAAATGTACTGAAAAGGGACAAAGGAAAATTCTTCTTAGGGGATGGATTGAAGTGAATTAACCATTATATAGGTATACTGGATCAAATTCTGCTCTCATTTACCTGTGCCACCCAGTAGGCCAGGTATACATGATGCCAGAAATTAAGTACTTGCATGTATGTGTAAGTTTAGAAGACGCAAACACAGATATAAGATTATCTTAGTGAACATTTTTTCTCCAGATATGGGATTTAGCTGCACAACTTTAATTAATTTTAATTGGAATTGTGTTGCTTATCCCCATATTCAGGTTTGAAACTTTCAAACCTCAGAATCTACTGCTAAATGTAATCCTGTACTATCAAATGATGACACAGAAACAATGATATACCTGTTTAGCTGCCGTGGCACTAATCAACATAGCTATGCTGAAACAGAATAATTTCTGCCAATTGCAATGTAGGCTACTAGCAAAGTTCAAATTATCAGTTAGAGAAAGTCATTTGAGACCAACCCTGATCAAAATTAAACACCCTTTAAGCTGCAAGTAATGTGCCTTGCTCTGTCTTTATCGTGGAGGTCTTGAACTGCAGATGCAATCACAGCGCTCATGATGGTCCAGTTGAATATCCACTAGGGCCATGCTGTTCCTGGTTCTCCCCTTCCTCCTGACATGGCTTAACTCAGGGATGAATTTCAGCACCTGAAGACAAAAGTAAATGTATCTTTTAGAAAATTCTCTCAGTGGTTTAGAATGAAGTAGGTATTTCTTCTGAAGAACATACATACAGAACCTCCTATGGCAGGGAGATGTCAGCGCAATATGTTTTGTTCGATGGCACCACGCCCAAGTTGCATTTGTTCATTCTGGCTTTTTGATGGGTTGGTGCAGTTAGAGCAGAAACAGGATCCAGACCCAGAGAGAAGCAGCAGCAAGTAGCTACATGGGAGAGAAGTGCCTTCAGAGCCCCTGAATATATTTGGTGTTAGAAAGCTGCATCGGCTGAACTAAGGTAATTATTTTCTGCTGTTAGCTCTGCACTCTCTCTTCTACTTATCCTCTGCTGTCGTGCTCCCTTCTCGTGTCTTCCAGGCCCCTCTCTCTGCTCTTTCCTTCTCTCTCCAGTTCAAACATTCCTCTGACTCATTGCCTTCTTTTCCTTGTTTCTCATGCCATGTTCCTCATCTTTCTCTCTGTCCCCTCTCCCTTCACTTTCACCACCATATTTATATCCAGTACAGTGGATTCAGTTTATTTGGAATCATTAATGTTTTGCACACTGCTAGCCTGTGTTATCAGGCAATCTCATTATTGCTATCCTCTCCTGCATCTCTCTGATGCTTTGTTATGCAACTCTACACTAGACTTTAAACTCTCTAGGGCACCAATCACTTATTGCTAAATATGTGTAGCTCACCTAAAAGAATGGGGCCTGTATTCTGATTGGGCCCCTGGACACTGCTAAACCACAAGTAAAATAATACCAATCCAAACTTTGGGAAATACGGCATTTGCCAAAGCCAAAATGAACCGAAGGTTAGTATAGCTCTGCTATTGCATGGGCACTTGTATTGTCCTCACCTTGGAGGTCAAACTTGCTTCAGTGCGTGCACAGGCTGAAAAATAATCTTTAGATAAACTGTTTTTACAATGCACAGTCTTATCAGGTCTTTATTGCTATCTTGGGGAACAGATTTTATTTTCTGTTAACTTGGAGATTTTTTTTTCGTGTTGTAATTTCAGCTTTTTCGTTCCACTCAGTGAGACTCCACCGCATGGTTTGTCCTGGAGCTATGACAGATTAGATTATTTCTATAACACTATCTTTATCTTGTGTAATTACTTAACCATGGCCATAGTCTTCCTCTGCATGCTAATTATGAAATATGTTTCTTTTGGTCTGTCTTTACCATACTGTGTTTGTCTGGGGGTTTGTTTTGCAAACGACACGTATTGGAGGAGTTTATGTCCATGTTCTAAATCAGTAGGGGCCAACCTTTTTGGCAGGCATGCCACAGATTAGTTCCATATGCTCCACAAGTGCCACTCCAATCTCCTTCCCCTGCCTGCTTCCTGCTCTCTGCCCTATCTGATGCTGTGCTGCCTATTCCCTCCCCAGTCTGCTGGGTGCCATGCAGAGAGGCTGCCTGTGCTACTTGTGGCTCACAGGCTACAGGCTGGTCACCCCTGCTCTAAATGAATACACATATTTCTTTGTAAGCTGGTTAGAGCTTCTACTAGGTTCTATGTGGTTGGACTCACTAAAAGTGCTCACAGTTATATATGTAGGATGAGGAGTTTAAGGGAGATCAGAGGGAGCTGGCCACTTAATTTTACTGGGATTTAGGCATCCAACTGCTATGACTTCCTTTGAAAATCCCACTGTTGTCCTGAACTGATTTCTTTGACTTAAATGCTGTCTCATGCTGTGCACTACAGGGAGTGAAATCTCGTGTGAGGGGACTACATGGACAACAAAAATGGCAGCATGAAAAGATTTCTCTTCTAGCTTGTTCCCCACATTCACCTAATTAGCTTTGTCCCCACTGCAAAAATATCCATGTAGAAAACAGAAACACACCCAGAGAAGGAGAGATGCTGAACAGTATGCTTCCCCCGACTTTAGAAATGTAATAGTAAAGATCTATGGACAGCAAACTAATGCTGCTTCCAAATACTTGCTTCATGCACTGTGTTCCTGCAAGCTGGCAACAAATAATCAGAATAGCACAGCCTGGCCATGTATGGTGACCCTAGAGGGACTGCCCTTTAACATGGCTAGATGGGATCTGATAGAGCCTCATTAAAATTTCAGATCCTGAGCTCTCTGTTGTAGTTTATGGTCCTTATCTCTGACAGTTTTGCATCTCCCCATAAACCCCGTGGACCAGGTTGAGGGGAAAGAATATACCATGTTTTCTCATTAGGTTGTTCTATACTGAAAGATTTGGACAGTGGCAGGATGGGATGGAGAGAAAAGGCTATCCTATTGTGTTTCTGTACACACATAGACTTTTAAATTCACAGTAGTTATTCCAAATTTCTGTCCTGAGACCCAGGTATCAATTACAAGTAATTAATACACTAAAGGAATTTGCTGAAAAACTTGTAATAAGAGCACAACAATTGTAAAGCATTTTCATCCATTGATCTCAAAATACTTTGCAAATAAAGGCAAGAATCACTATCTCCATTTTATAGAAGAGGAATTTGAGGTAGAAGGAGAAGAAATGCTTATTCAAGGTCATGCAGATCAGTGACAGAGCTGCCTGTTTACAATACTTGTGCACTCTAGCCCCATTGCTATAGTATATGAGCTTCTCTAAATCAGTAACCTTCACAACACACCAGCTTACAGATGGGGATTTGAGCCAGAGGCATAACTGGTAAGGTTTTGCCCTGGGCCAGCATTTGCTGATACCATCCTGCTACAGGGAACAGCCACTACCGTGCAAGATGTCAGTGAAACCAACACCAAGACGGTTAAGGCAGCAGCTGCTGGATAGGGATCCTTTAATGCCCCGCTATTACAGCCACTGCTGCCACTCACAACACTGCCCTGAGTGCCACCAATTGTCATTGCTGGTGGCAATCAACAACAGTAGATTTGGTGTCTACAGTGGCAAAGGAAAGGGGAAAGGGGTCCCTACAGTTGTGGCTGCTATGTTAACTCTGTCAGCAGTGGCTGTTCCCAATACCAGGACACTTTGGCAAATGCTGACTCTTGCCTTGGCTTCCCACAGCCAGATCCTCATGCTCCTCTGTCACCAGTCCTGACCTCTATCCCTACCCCATGTGCCACTGCTGTCACAGAAGACACAGTGGTGTGTAAAGTACACACTCCCATTCTGGAGCTTCCTCTCTGCTGGGGCTCGGGGCTCATGCCCCACTCTTCCAACCCTTGTTATGCTACTGAACTGAGGTACAAAGAGATTAAATGACTTGCCCAAAGTCATAAAAGAAGTCTGTAATAGAGCAGAAAATGGAACTTGACTCGCCCAAATCCACGATCAGCAACCTAATCACTAGACTTCTTGCCCAGGCTCCTAATCACTAGATTAGGCTGTCGCAAAAGTAGTACTTAGTCTTACATATCACCTTCGACGAAGTCTGTAGCAGAACCAAAAACACAGTGGAAGGTCTCCTAGCTCATACATGTTAACCATAAGACCAATCCTTTTTGACTGTGAGGCTTGAAGAGTAGGAAGTTCATGGAATGTAATAACAATGATCAAACAACATAGCAATAAAAAAATCCTCCTAACTTTTTTCCATGTGTCGCAGAGCACACAGGTGCCCTGCTCCTTAGAGCAGGAACAGCTAGGGAGAGAGCCCTAGCAGTGAGTGGGGAGCCCAGCTGGTAGTTACCAGGGCAGCCAGGGTTACAGGTGCTGGTTGCTAGGGCAACTTCTGGGGAGTCAGCTGACAGGAAGGGGCAGGTCCTGGCACATAGAACCCCAGGAGTGAGGCCAGGAGGGCAGTGCTCCACTGGCAGCCATGGGAGAAGGAGCTCTGCTGGGGCAAGTGGAGTGGAGAAGCCTGATGGCCCGAGCAGCTCCTGTCTGCTGTTACGGGTGGAGAATTCCCTGGTAGGGATTGAATGAGACTTTTCGATATAGCCCAGGGGCTTGAGTTTTTATTTGTAGTTTCATAAGTCCGGAGGACCGGGTAAGGCTATTAGGGGTTGGAGGAGGCCTCATAGGGGCTCCATGATAGCGTGGGGACCCTGGTGCCAGAGAGGGGGCAACGAGAAGCCCCAGAGCGAGGGGGCAGCAGAGCACCAGGAACGCATGGGACGAGACAGGGTGGTGGAAGCCCAGGGAAGTCCATGAGGGCCAAATTACAGCAGGTCAAAACCACGTCAGTACCATTTGCGAGGCTTGGGCTGCAGTGTAGGGGAGGAAAAGGAGTTGCAGATAGCACCCCCCCCGGCACTGAGGCAAAAACAATGGGCAACCTCCCGCTAATTACATCTATTAATTAATCAGTTAAGATAAACACATGGCAGGCAAGTAGGCAGGCGGTTGGCCTATAACAGGAGGGTGGAGTCACCGATAGAAAGACTTTAGTAGAGGTACTCCTGTCACACCATGTTACGGTGAAGTTTCTGCTTTCAGGGGTGTAAAATCATGTAATACTGTAAGAGAATGATTGTGCTTAGATGAAATATAGATAATTACTCTTCTGCAAAAGAGAGGAAGACTTGCCAATTTTTAGAGAAAACAGCAACATTTGCCAAGTCTGAATTATTTTCAAACACTGACTGCCTCAGTGCAAATAATAAATCACAAAGGACACAAGGACACCTTGCTGGGCCACGTTGCCAGCTAAAACATTAGAGCTGAACACAACAGGTCTGTGAAGATTATTTTGGAGCTCAAAATAGCATCTTCAAAGACACTTATTTTTTTTAAAACATACTTTAAAAATCAAGTACAGCTGCTGAAGCTGAACCCACAATAAAAAAATTCTATTTAAAGAATGCTTTCATCAAAATCTGACAATTTCAAATGACTGGCACTTTCAAGATCATGGTTAGGTAGATTTGCCTTTTCATTTTACAGCAAATGAAAGTGTTTGCAGTGAGATGAGAGCAGATATGTGGGCAGTATTTAAGCTAACAGACCTCCTGACAGCTTGGGGATTTTCCCTGTGTTTTATATTAAGAAACATGAACACTGTATATGTGCTTTGCTGATAAGAGTAGAAAAATGAATTGGCAGACACTTTCCCAGACAAGACAGGAAAGCTGTGTTTGAACACTGTGAAAATTGGAATGCTTTAATAGCTGATCACAGAACTGATGTTCAAAGTTTTCAGTCTAGCTTCTGTCTAATAGTCTTAGGTTAAGGTAAATACAAGAGGACTGAAAAGAATAAGGCAGTCAGGCCATTTCTAGTGGCCACAGCAGATGAAAGAAAGTCCTTTCATGTTGGAAATAAAGCTGCTTTTTATTTATTATCTGGTCACTTCTTCAAAAGTGATACACTACTAAGTTAATTAAATTAGTTC